GACAACCGTTCTTCGTGTGACCCAACTTTTCACAGTAATAGCACCTAACAGTGCTCATGTCTCTCAGCTGAGATCTTCTCCCAAGTTGGTCACTCTTCTTCTTCCTCCCTTTCTCAACACTCACAGCAGCTAGTAAATGACTGTCCCCGGAAGACTCTTCACCTCCCATCATCCTTTGACTCTCCTTCAAGGCAGTCGTCACATCATCTAGTCGCAGTGTAGTCCTTCCTGCTATCATTGACTGCACAAACGGCTTAAAGGATTTTGGTAGTGAAGCCAGTAGAAGCAGCCCTTGCTCTTCATCCTTGATAGTCTCCCCTGCATTTAATAGCCTTGATACTTGCTCATTAAACTTGTTGATGTGATCAATTACGCTACCTCCCTCTTCCATCTTCAGTGAGTACAAGTCCATCCTCATCATCAACCGGTTAGTAAGTGTCTTTGATGCAAACTTGCTCTCCAACATTTCCCACAACTTCTTTGGTGATGTCTCTTTCAGCACTGTCACTTTAATCTGTGGGGACAGTGCCAACCGAATTGTGCTGACAGCCTTCTTTTGGATTGTACTCCACTCTGATTCTTTCATATCACTTGGCTTCTCATCTTGCAATGCTAATTCAAGACCTTGCTGGACCAAATAGTCTTGAATCGTGCATTGCCACAACATGAAGTCCGCCCTTCCATCAAATAACGGAACTTCAAACTTCAAGGTAGTCATAGTTCCACTCAAGCAGCAATCAACCAATACCAAACAATCCAAATTTGAGGAAACTGGCCTCAAAAATGGAATCAGGACGTCAAAATTAGTCAGAACCAACTTCTCTCCAAAAATCACCAACGGGACCCACACGATTACTGGACCTGCTGATGTGGGGACCCACTGATGACTGGACCTGCTGACGTGGCGATGGGACCCACTGATGACTAGACCTGCTGACGTGGCACTGACTGGATGATGACGTGGCACTCCGACCCACAGACTGCTGACGTGGCACTCACGGACCCACCTCTGCTGACTGGACCACCTCCTCCTCCGCTGAAGTGGCACTCCCTCCTCTTGCTCCTTCCTCTATTTCCTTCCTCCCTAGACTGCAACTCTGTAATTAATAATTCTTTTCTGATGTGGAAGATCAGTCAAAGCTGCAACCACAGAGCATACTAAGAATTATAATTACCAGATCACCCGGGCTCTGCACCTTGGCTCTGATACCACTTGTTAGGCCCCTACTGTAAACAAATGAAAGGAACGAAAAAGAGCACACAAAATATTTAACGTGGTTCGGCACCTCAATACCTACTCCACGACCCCCTCTGGGATAAAATCTCACTAGTAATTTTTGCACGGAAAAATTACAAACCCTCTCCAATATTTGACACTCACAACCTATAATCTAATACACAATTATATAGATTGAAGGATTGTGTTGTGTGATGGAAGCCTATACCCCCTCTCTATTTATAGGCTCCAATACCTCCTCAATTTTCCTATCCCACTGATGTGGGACTTTGAAGTAACACTCAACACCCAGAACCGTTGGGACGTCCCTGCTGGCGGTGATGGTGGCGGGTACTGGCGGTACCGTTGCCGGTCACGGTACCGTACCGGTACTGTGTCCACCCCTAATTGTGGGAAGATCATATTGATTTGGTGATCGATGGTCTCAACGAAGCGGAATCACAACCTCCAATTCTGGTGATGCAAATGGTGAAACCTACGCTATACAATGGTATTCTTATTATATTATTTCAATATAAATTTGAAAAAATATAATACAAAAAATTAAGGTCTAACGGTTGTTGTTTTTAATATCTTAGAATGTGTCAATTACAACATTTTATAATGTCAGGGGCAATCTCTGAAACATGTTGGATTATTGTTACAGAAACCAGTATTTTAGTTATGGACAAATATATATTGTAGTTTCAAGAGTCACAAATTAGTTGGTTTGAATATTCCGATATGCAATAAAGACAATGTTCCCACAAAGTGTACGAATAATGTAGTTTATAAAAAAGTCTTTCGAAATTTGTATAGCAAAAAACTTTTGTATCTTAAAAATAAGAAAATCTCTATATTCTATTAAATATCATTTTCTATCATTCAAAAATGATCTTAATTTATTAACGTAAATATGACTTGTGCAACACACGGATGTGATACTAGTAGATACTCAGAGACAGAGTTACTACTACCCCCTTCGTCCCACTTGAATCTTTACGTATAATATCCATATGGTCAAAGTTTATACACTTTGTTTTCTTATTTTCGCTACTCATTTGATGTAGTTTTTAAAAATATATTTTTTTCTTTTTAAATTTTACACATACAATTAAATAAACAGTAAATTCTCAAAATGGTACTCAATAACTATGTGTTTTCCCATATTAGTCCCAACAATTAACTAATTCCTGAGATGGTACTCGTCAATTGAGAATAATGCTCAGTTCAATCTCTTCGACTAACGGTCGTTGAAATGACGGTAAATCGATATTAAAAATTCATTTATTATGGAAAAATGTTTAAATTTCATAGAATGAAAATATAATACTAAAAACTATAAATATAATTATATCATTTGCAATTATTTAGAAGAATATCATGTAAACCAAATGTTAAATAAAGTTAAAGAAATTACTCTAAATTGGAATAAAACATTAAAAAAATGCCAAAATAAAAGCTTTTTCTCTATGTTTTACTCTTATTTACGGTGATTTATTTAACATTTATTAAACGTTTTATTTACATGATATTTCTCTAAATAATTGTAAATGATAGAAAATGTTTTTTCAAATTTATAAAATTATATTTATAGTTTTTAGCATTATATCTTCATCCTATGAAATTTAAAATATTTTTTCATTATTAATGTATTTTTATTTCAAAAATAGACCAATTTGAGAAAACACACGGTTAGAAAGTACCATTTTTGAAAAATAGTATAAAGTTTAATGTTGTGTTAACGCCGTTTTAACAGCCGTTAGTTGCAGGGACTGAACTTAGCAGCATTCTCAGATAACGACTACTATCTCGGTAAGTTAATTGTGAAGACTAAGTTGGGAATAGGGGTGAGCAAGGACCGTACCGATCCTGATATTTCCCGAAAAAACCGAGAATACCAAACCGAAAAATACCGAACCAATAAAGTACCGAAAAGAAACCGAACCGTACCGAACCGAACGGTCGGTCCGGTATTTGGGAACGGTACGAGGTTACTTCCCATACCGAAATTCCCGAACCGAACATATATACTAATATATTATAAAATAATAATCTTTTTATATTTCTTCATTAAATAAACCATTTATATAGACAATTTAGTTTATTTTCATTATGTTTAAGTTGCACTTTAATAAGAGTTTTTTATTTTTTGTAGATGAGTAGAAGAATATTAACAAATATTTGAAATAATACTTTATTATCACTCGTTCTCTTTAGTTTGTGAAATATAAACTAACTTTCATAAGTATTTCTTGAATTTTATTCTTTTATTTTTTAAATTTTTTTATCTTTCTTTGGTTAAATGTACATTCAATTTTTCAAAAATAAAAGGGTTTGTTACATTTTATGATGTAAACTAGGTACGTATATATTCATCTCGATTCGTACCGAAACCGATACCGAACCATCCCGAACCATACCGAACCGATGCTTCGGGATCGGGATTGGTACAATGTAAAATCCCATACCGAACCGAAATATTTGGTACGGTATCGGTACGAGCTAAATACCGTACCATACCGTACCACGCTCACCCCAACTTGGGAAGACACATAGTTATTTGGTACAATTTTGGAAATTTACTCTTAAATAAATTAAATTAAAAATAAAATTAGTTACCCATCGTAACGCGAACTGAAGAGATTCAATTGGAATAGAGGAAGCAGTATTTTTTGACAAAGTTGACTCCTTTGTCATTAGCCGAAAGAAAGAAGCTGCAAATGAATTTGAAGATGGTACACTACTAGTCGGCAGAATGTTCCTCTTTAAAAACTTTATTCATTCTTTCGCGTCTCCGACTCACCCCGGCTATTATGCTAAGGACATCGAACTATCAGCTATGGCCTGGAAAAGTCATTGTCACTTTTCGATGTTCCGTTTGTAAATTTCGATAAATCACCTCGCCTAATCCCAATCCTAACTCATTCCCCCACCCATGCTAATTGCATCCCGCAAATTTATTTGACTTTAAAGTCAAAATTATTTATTTTAAAATCAACTAAACTTGCGGGTGTAATTGACATGGGTTGGGATCGGACTGGGCAAGGGGCTTAGAGGAGATAAAAATCATCAATTTTACGAATAAAGTACCATAAATATATGAATTGAAGCAGTGGCTTCCATGACCACTAAAAAGCAGTGGCCATAAAACCGACCCTTTGAACTATTAGTTGTTGTGATGTAACTACTAGTTGTTTTACTTTCATTGCTATAATACGGGATCTTTTAAAAGTGAACGGAATTCAGACAAATCAAGTGCATTTTCAATACTCCATCCATTCCAGAAAATGCTTTCTATTTAGAGAGTACTTTTTTTGTTAAATTTTGACTCTTTGATTACAAATTAAACCTAATTTAAATAAATAATATTATTCCAAATATGAAAATTTGATATATCAAGACTATATCCTAATGTAAATTCAATTATACTAAATTTATTTTATAAATAAAAAAATATGAGTATTTAACATGAGCTATTTAATACTCTTTTCATCACAAAATGTAAGCAACAATTACTATTTCAATCTCTTGATAACTTTTTTTTGTTACAAGTCTTGGATAACCATTTGATAAAATAAAATATTCAAGTCACATCTTATTTAAACTTTTGATCTATTTTTAAACAGTGAAATTTTACATTTTATCTCTCTACCAATTTATAAATAAAATAATTTAAAAAGAGAAAAAATTTCACATGTTTGAAACCTGGCTAACAAATTGGAACGGAGGAGTATAGATTCTTGATATAAAAAACTAGACATTACAAAAATTAAATTAATTGTTTCAAACAGGACTTTATTCTTAAAAAATTGAGAATTTAAACATAGAAATTGAGACGTAACTACGTGAGTATTGAAGAATGAAATACAGTGCAATTCATATTTGTTTTTATTCACTACGAGCAATACAAATATACAAACAATCTTTACTACTTCATCCATAAATGTTCTATGCTTTCACAAAACGAAGTAAATTTTCATGTTTTTAAATTCATTTACTCAAAATTTGATGTAGAAAATTAAAATATAACTCACTGTTAAAAATTATGTGAAAAGTTCCACAAAACAAAGGAGACAAGAATATTTTATTTTATCAAATAACCAACTAAACCCACAAATAAACAAGATTTTCCGTGACTTTTGAATAGTAAAGTGTGTATTTTTTTATGGAACGGAGGAAGTAATAAAATTTACAATAATACATATAAATATATATGAATAAAAGAAAAAAAAATTTAACGCTAATATTAAAAACTTTGTACATATATCCACTGTTTTTACAAAATGAGCACGTGAGGTTACAAAATATAATTATACCTGTAAATAACCACTGAAATATACCGTCTTCAACACATATCGATGTTTGTCCCACGAGAGGAAATTTTTTAGAGCACCTTAAAAATCATCAGTAACCCAGTGGCAAGTGTCCATTTGTTTCGGGCATGTCGCATTGGTTTACTACAAATCTGCACCTGAAGAATCAGGTAAAGGAACGGATCTGGGATTGAAATAAATGGTCAACGTGCTACCCTGCGACCCCACAATGCGGGATGCTCAGTTCCTATAATTTTATTTATTCCTACTACTCCACAAGGCTGGCTGCAGATTCCCAGCATAGCTATGGATAGCTTGAAAACTTATATATTTCAAAATATATGTATGGATTCTTCCTCTGTACAACCAAAGCCAACCAGGTCTAGTGAAAGACTTGAGGTGAAGCGTAGTACTCGCTTTCACTAAACATGGGTCTTAGATCTTCTTTGCACATAAAATCGAGTGGGAAAGAAACGAGATGACCCCTTACCATCTCTAACCTCTCCATTGGATCTGTTTCTTTGATATCTCCATCTTGGTAAGACTCTAGCTTATTTGGAGATATTCCTAAATCGATCGTAGTGTGACCGATCTTCTCTTTCCAGTGAGCCAGGCACTGACGAAGAGAAGCCCTGCTTGTCCATGTAAATGACATTAGATTGAAATGCTTAAGCAAAAGAATACTTATCTAGGAATGAGAGGATGCACCATCATGGCAGATCAGCAACTATACCTCGAATCTATAAGATCATTTGGAACACAAGAAAAAACGTCTTGGAAAATCATGGTGTTGGTCTGCAGAAGACTTGGTCAGTTGGATTGTTCTAGAAACATGATTGCAATGCAGATATAATGTGCAACGGCTATTTCTGTAACTCAGACCCGAAACACACAAGGCACACATGCACAAGCACAACCTAGAGACTAAGGCATAAAAACACACATCAACATGAACTACAATTTATAGCCAAAAAGTCTACCAAACTACTCTAATCCTTGACCTCTAGGTGTTCCAAACTAATTTGTGAAACAATCTGGGTTCATTTTGAGTTCATAGTTGTGGTCAGTTTCAAATTAATGGTGTTAAGGAACTGTTTTCACAGCTTTAAAATTTAGTTGGGCTTATTTTAGGATGGACACTAAAATGACTAAATCGGATTCAAGTTGGCAATTTTAAATTAAAGATTTTTGTTGCTCTGTTTTTTCAAAACTTAAGTGTCGCCTAGTTGGTATTGAGCTGGCAAAAACTGATTGTTCATCAACTTGGATTTTTGAACTAACTTTGTCAAATAAATATAGTTTATAACTAGGTTGTTAAGTGATGATTTCTAAAGTTCACAATACACTAAACTTAAAGAAATCACCCTAAATAGGAGTAAAACATAAAGTACCAAAATAGGAGTTTCATGTTTTTATTTTCTAAATAGGAGTGCGTAGTTTGCACTCTGATAATGTGGGCATTGTACATGTGTATTTTACTATACTTTTTAGAAAGGTACATGGTCATGATTGGTAATGCAAATGCATTTTAACTCCTATTTCAGGAATAAAAACAAGGTTGTTAAGTGATGATTTCTAAAGTCCTTAATACACTAAACTTAGTTAAACATGGCAGCAGGTCCTTGTACTAGCAACATGATGTGACATCCAATGAACATTTCATCATTTTTACCTTTGCAATTGACATCCATATATCCTTGTATGTAGAATCAATCACTGGATCAGTAATTTGACCAATCTAAACAAAGTGGAAAAAAATGAGTAATATAATAACATAGAACATCATGCCCCACATATGATGCTTAAATTGTTCACAGATAGAACCTCTCCAGGTTGAAGACCAAGATGCTCAGACCATAGCGAGAGTCGAAGGCTAGATGCAAATCTCCCGGCCTTGCGTGGTTTGCCTCCCATGTATGAATCAACAAACTCTTCATCCTCGATAATTACACCGATCTGCAAAAAACAAATTTTGGTTATTAAAAGTAGCTTTCATTACAAAGGCACTAGATAGAAAACATAACATTGTTCAACATTTGGTCGTTTTAATCTTGAAATCACATCTGTTTCCATATCCATATAATGCACATAAACTGGCCCTGATATTTCCTTGGCTAAGTTCATATATTCCATTAGTATAATTGCTGTAAATTAAACAGGAAACAAAATACTTACCTCAGAGTCTCTGGAGCCGAGCAAGCTCCGGTCATTAATATTTGCTGATCCGATCAAGGCTGTGCAGTCATCAACTATCATGATTTTGCTATGCACATAAACCTATGGAATTGACAAATACATGAATAAGTCAATAACAAGGAAGAAAATAACTTGTTATGTCCTAAGAATGTCAATTTATGGTAGTGATAACTTATAAACATATTTTCAAAAATAATAGTTTCCTACTTTCCTCTTTTACCTGATAAGTGATAACCCTAAATTAACTAGTGATTCCTTTAAAAAAAGAACTTGTAATCATGTGTTTCAAAATTCATAAATGTTTCAACAGTTGCTAGCCTGCCAGTTTTACACTTTTACCAGTATTAAATCTAAGAAATGTCATTCTCCCTCTGTCCGGTAAAAAACTCTTGCATTGACTTTCATTGAGTTTAAGAAAAGTGTTGAAAAGTGAAAAAGGTGTGGTCAGAATTTGTCAGACGAAAAGGAAATTGAAGTTTTTTAGGACGGATGAAAAATCATTTTTTTGGGTCGACAAAAAAAGGAAAGAGTGAAGATTTGTATGGGGTGGATGAAGTACAATGTATTACTTTGTCCCGCTGGCTTTTCGAACTATTTTTTTGTCCATCGCGGATTTTCTACTTTCCTTTAAAAGAAATAAATTGGTGGTGTACAATTCTTCTTCTTTGAAATAAAACTCAACCACATACACTTCCAATTTCTTAATTTCCATGTTCATGTTAATCTCCAATTTCTTAATCTCCATGTTAATCTACATATGTGGAATACCTGGCTAGAAGCCACAGGACCTCCATCAAACAGTCTACCATAGGATCTGAGACCATAAAAAGATATATATTCGTGCACTCTAGGACCAGTAAGATCACTCAGATTATGCAAAATTGACATATTTCCCCGGCATATTGTCCGATATTGCCAATGCATGATAGCTCGTATAGATGCCGCACCACTATCATCCAAACCACCCTGAGAAAATAAGAAACATTTAAGTAAAAACTTATGGTGAAAATAGTCGTAAGATAATTGAAAAGAAGATATGAGGATGGCAATCTTGATAACTCGTGTACCTGAAATCCAGGCAGAAGTGGTATGACAATAATGACCCTGAAGCACTTATTCTCATTGTAAGCTCGCGTGATTCTCTCACACAATGATTCTAATACACGATTCTTTATAATCTCATCTCCCACTAGCCCTGAGATGAAAAATTGATTCTGGGAAACACATTCAACAGTTAATGAAGAGCATTCGTAGATCCAATAAGAAAACTTATTCGCTATCCCACCGTTACTCACTCAGTACGCTCCCCCACTGCACCCTCAATGTTGGGTTATTTGGTGAAGGCTTTAGAGCTTTGGGCTTTAAGCCCGGTCGCTTAAAGGGAAGAAACATGGGGGGCCGGTTTTAGTTATTAATTAAAGGGCCCATTAGTTGTTTCTTGTTTAGCAAGTTGTTAACCCTAATTTATATCTTATAAATACCCAATCATGTAACTATAATCTGTGAGCACCTAATAAAAGATAAACCCTAGTTGCAACCCGTGGAGTAGGTTACTGACCGAACCACGTTAAATCTCGTGTTCTTATTTTCTGCTATTTGTGTGTGTGTGTTTGTTCGCTTCCGCTTGACCGCCTCTGATCTCTGATTCCTAACAAGTGGTATCAGAGCTTTGGTTCGGTTAAACACACGGTTACACAGGATCAATCGCAGGAAGAAGGCTGTTCAGGATTGTTTTTGCTGCTGTTTTGCTGCCGCGGTTAAGGGGCTGGTTCAGATCTGATCAGGGGCTGGTTCGGATCTGATCAGAGGCTGGTTCGGATCTGGTCAGGGGCTGTTTGGTCGGTTTTAGGTGAACTTGGCGATTAGGGTTTCTGGTTTTGGACCTGGTACTCGTTGGTTCGGGTTCTTTGTTTTAGGGTTTGTTTTCTTTTGAAGGTTGCTTGGTTTCAGGCCGTTATTCCTTGATTTTTTCTCTGGTTTTTTTTCTCTTGTTTTGCAATGGCCGAGGACGGGAGGGTTCGAATCGAGAAGTTCAACGGTACTGATTTTGCATGGT